ACCCAAGAAGAAGGCAAGTCGTTTAGTCAACATCAAAGCAAAGAAATGACTCAGCGTTATCAGAGAGACGCTTGAAGCTGGACCAGTCCATCAAAGAAATACTCAAACCTTCGAAACGAGCTAAGAAACGAACGAAGCAGAATGAAGACGACGTGAGTATGCGTCTTGTTGTGAATTATCCCGCTAAAATGAAACTAGTTGGATAAAATTGCAGATGACCACGTGATAGCATTGCGCGAAGAGATGATGATAGCCGCAAGTGAAGACAAAATTTCAAGTAGGGAGGGCCTGCCGGCTATTGCAAAGTTGCGCATGTTAGACCGCGTCATGGATACACTTCAAAAGTAAGTACAACCTCTGTTCTGTGGAATTCTAGATAACACCCCCCAGGAAGCAATATACGACCTCTATCATGGATCAAGACCTCCTTGGTGCATGCAAAGTGTGGTTGGAACCCTTGGAGAACAAGTCTTTACCAGCCTTAAATATCCAAAAGGCGTTGTTCGAGCACTTTAAAGAGGTATGATGACGCCAAGGATCGAAGTTTAGAACTAAATCTTCATCAGATGTCCATTGACACGGAAACACTACGCGAATCTAGATTGGGCCGTGTGGTCTTATTCTACACGAAATGTAAACGTGTCACCGAATCTATACAACGTATTGCATCCGAGCTGGTGGACAGATGGACAAGGCCGATTCTAAAGCGTTCTTCCTCCTATCGCGACAAATTTGTCCCAACTGTCTCGGCCGAGGATATGGAAAACATAAGGACCACCGTTCCAAAACTCAGTGCAATTCTCAGTCAGGCTCGTATCTCGGAGCAAGGTCGCACTAGAAAACATGCAGTCTCAGTTCCTGAACGCAACCTTACTACCTACACTGTCGCGCCACGCCAGTCTACTAGCCTCCTTTCGCGTAACCCACAAGACAATACACTAGCAACTAGACGCAATAACAAGGAGCTGCTGAAGCACTTACAGAAGAAGACGGAGAAATCGGGCAGGGTTTAATATTTACAGAATTGCAAGCATTTAAGCTTTCTTTGGTAACTCGATTCCGTTGTAAATCATATGATTAAAGATGTCGTTGTGTATATTCACGAAACATGTGTGATGAGTAGGGTTGGAAAATAGTGACAATAATTAGCACGGCAGTTGATCATGGCTTCACCTTCGTAGGAGAACCCTTTGGCTTTGGCGATTCTGCGTTAGGTTTCGGACTCTGTTTCTCGGCCGGCTTCTTGATTTCTTCTTCAGGCTCAGGCTCAGAGGTTTCGTCACTCGCGGACAGATAACGCGCCATCCATTTCTCTGCCTCCGCATATTGGGTTCTTGCTTGAGCGAGAGTCACTTTGATGCGCTTCGTAGCTTCTTCCTTTGATAGATTTTGGGTTCTTTCGTCGGCCAGTTCGTCATCCCATTGTTCACCATAGTGCTGTAACTTGGCGCAAGTATTCTGGAGAGTTTGTACCCCCAATTGGCCTGATGAACCTTTGAGGAAATGAGCCAGCTTGGAGAACGCGAGTAAATCTCCCTCTTTACTGAATGGATTTGGAGCGTCAGAGGTGCTTTGCCTATCTCGTCCGACTGTTGCTTACAGCGTCTGGTCCATATCGGCGAAAGTATCTTTGACTTGACCATACCATTCCTCGACAACGCTCTCCAGAAACTCTGTACCTCCGTCCTCATCAAGTTCGAGTAGCTGATTGAAGACTTCCTCGTCTATTATCTCCGTATTCTTTAGCATATCCTCGCGGCTCTGCGCACACAAACATCAGAAACCGATATCTAAGGTGCTACGAAGTGATCCATGTCGATCCGAACTTACAGGCATCGTATATGCTCCTAGAGAGAGGCGGTAGTGTGATCTTGAGGTATGACGATGTAGGGTCAGCTCGCGGCTCGGCTCTCTGACAATGAGATGAGGTGCGATGTGGCTTTGAAATGACGTCCGGCGTTACTAGAGGCTACTGCTGGGATTTTCAAAAAATATTTCTGGGATGCCGGGGACTAGTGAGAGGCGAAAGTGGTGAATCGATCATCACATCAGGCCCAATTGTAGTCCTCCTTCAATTCAACCACCACCACCTCTTTCATTTCCCCCCACATTTTTCCGCGCATGCAAAATAACAATAATTGGGACGTTATTGTAGATA